TTAGTAAGATCCGGATGACGACTTCTTTTGTCATTCCAAGAAAACATTTTTTTGGCTAAATCATACTTTGATTTATTTTTCAGCCATTGAACGTCGAAAAAAAGCACTCCCCTAACCGAGGAGGCTGGCAAAACCATCCAGAAAAACCGGATCAGAAATTTCTAGGCTCTATCGAAAGAGCGATGTAACTTCTACCAAAACCTATAAGTAGATCCAAAAATGACCGCAGAAAGAGGGTTCGGGGTCAACTATCAGTGCCGTATAAAAAAAATGTTGCACCAAAAAGACACCATTTATGTGTTCTTTTTAAACCATTTTGTTGAGCGATCTCATGGTGGTGACTTAACCTTCTGAATGGTCAAAACGACGGCAAATCCTGGGTCCGATAGGCCCAGAGAAAAATATGTTTCACGTATGCTTGAGAACGAGAGTCCACGAATTGTCAGAAATTCGGAGGGTGTGACTTTTTGACTGAAACGACACTAAGCAAGAGCGTACTTTTTACTGTAAGGCGGAACAATAAAATAGAGTCCTTTCCTGAATGGTAAAATTTTTTAAGAGTATCTAAAAATGCAATGCTGAATGGAATAACAAAATAAAAATAAAAATAAAATAAATATACGGTAAAATAATTTTCCTACGATGCATAATTGTAATTTAGAACCTCCTCGATGAGCTCCCGCAAATTCGACGCGTCTTTTTGGGAAGAAACCGCTTGCGTACGATGCCAGCTCTAACCTCCCGGCTGTCGAAGCTCAAATTCCTCGAGTTGAAGCACAACAAGCTTGAGGAGGTCGATGATCAGGTAAAATTTAAATTAAACTAGAAGTGGATAGGCAGTGTGAAAAAAGAATGTACCTTAAAAAACTTTAAAAAATGTAACTTTTATCCCGCTTAAAAAATGTTTAAAAACTTCGGAGGAAAATCTGCTTCGGAATGCTATATGAATTAACACACATACAAGGTACGAATGCTCAATTTACTAAATCAATTTGTAGCATTTTAAATAGGGAAATCAATGTAGATACTCGCTGAAATCTGCAAGCCGAAACTGTAAGATAATGTCAATCCTGGAAAACCATTTTCAGCGATTCCAGTCTTCAAAAAATGTTCTTCAAAAATGGAGAGTATAAATGGTAAACAAAGACAATCTTAATCGAACGAAGATCCCTATACCCAAAATAAAGGGACCAATTTATTTTTTATGGTTATTAATATTTATTTAAATGGCTCCGTTCAGCTGATGGAAATGCTGCCCGAGATCGAGTCGATGGACCTGAGCCACAACCGCTTGGCAGAGCGTCCACTGCTCGATGTTAAGGCCAGCGCTTTCATATGTTTGATATACCGGAGCTATTTGAATAATGGACAAATTGGCTTAATAGAAAAAGCAGCATCGGTTGTTACGCGGAGTGTCGTGGAAAATGATCCTTGTTTGAAGCTGGAGATTCTTCGAAACACCTTCTCTGTAATCTGGCAATTCGTGTTCCTGTATTTTGGTCGCCTACAGCACAAATCGAGTTAATATTAACGCCCTAGATTTATGCTAAAATCGAAGCTGCTTCGAAACATCCTATTTTGGAAATCGTGGAAAAAACAATATCCGAGTTATTAAATTA